CCGAGCGTGAAGGCAGATGCGATTATCCGCACCGGCTGCCGCAGCCGCCACGGGCCGGGGGAGGACACGGGCTGGGAAAGCACTTCAAAGCCGCAGGGTATAATCTCTGCTCTGAATAATGGTGATAATAAGAGTAAAAAGAGATAAAAAAGAGTAAAAAAAGATACAGAAGCACCTCGTCGCATCTGCCCGGGAAGCTCCGCGCTGGTTTGAGCACAGAGCAGCTGGCTCCGTGTCTTGGGAAGAGGTCACGGCTCAGAATAGCTGTGGGACACCCCAAAAATCCCCCTGTTGCTCGCCTCAGCCCTTCTGCCTTCCTTCACGGCCCTTCCTCACCCACCACAAAAATCTATCGGAGAAAACAGGATTTTACGTAATGGGTCGTGTTGTTCTGCTCCGTGTTTTCCACACACACACACACAAAAAATAAAAAGATGGGAAGTGAAAACAAGGTCAAACCTTGCTTTGGCTGCCTCGTGTCCCTGGGGAGCACAGGAAGGGAGAGCACTGCTGGAGCAGGGGAGGGGACACCCCAGCTCTGCTCCTGGGGGAACAGGGACCAGGGTCCCCTGCCCACCCCGATGGCTCCAGGACCCCAGGCTGCCTCTGGGTCCTGGGGACCCCTCTTAGGCTTAAACCACAAACTTGAGCGCAGAGGAGGTGGAGAAATCAAAATTAAAATTTATTAAAGACAATAAATTACATTCCCTTGAGATACAGTAGATTTTTGAGACAAGTACCTTGTTTTGCAGGCCAGGTAACATCAGCACCCCGTTAACAATGACTCCAGGGAGCATGATTTGGATGCTGGGGGTGCCAGGGCCCTGAGGAGTGGAGCAGGGCAGGCAGGATGCTGAGGGTGCCTCCCTGAAGGTGCCTGACTCAATGGGTCCCCGCTGAGCACTGCTCACGGTCGTGACACTGATGGTGCAGCCAGCACCTGTCAGGCTCCAGGTTTAGGAAGGAAAAGCCTCATTCCCAGTGCTCCAGCAGTGAGAGGCAGGCAGGGATGCCCGGGCTGGGCCAGTGCAGTGGCTGCTGGATGGAGGCTGGACGAGCAGCAGTGGATGCAGAGGTAGATGCTGGGCGAGGAAGGCACAGCGGAGCATCCCTGCCCACCCTCAGCTCCCGGCCGGATTTGTGGGCTCCCCCAGAATTTGGGAGGGGGAAGAACCACCCAGCTGAAAAAGCAGGGGGGATGTCCTGCCAGAGCCCAGTGCCAGGATAAAAATACCCTTCCCGTGGAGCCAGCGGAGGGAATTAGAGTGGAATAACCCGCCCGCTGTGCCAGGGGAGGCTGCGGCAGCAGACGGCCGAGGCAGGGCTGGCAGGGAAATGAGCC